GAGCTGCTGCAGAGCTCCTGTTTTATTGAACAGCTTTTGCAATTATCTCTCAACATGAGAAAGAGAAAAAAAAGGTTTAACCAAGAGGCCTTTTAAATCCTGACACAATTTTTCAGCTCACAACTTTCAACAGAGCTGCAAAACCCTTGAATATGTGATTATAAACTCTGAGATAAAGCAAACAAGAGGAGAGAGAGTCACACGTTTTGAGGAGAAAATTAGTAATGGTGTCTGTTATTGTTAGGACTGAATGGTAATTTATGACTTATGGGAGGCGAGTGGAGCATGGCCTGGCTAAATGCAATCCATATTGATCCTTATCACCCCCACTTCCTGTGCATATGATATCCCAGCGCTCCCTCGGCATGCTGAAAGCTCTCTGCGTGGTTCATGTTCAAAATCCCACATCTCTCTGCTTGTGTTGCTGTTGAGCGGCTCAGGCACTAGCCGCCTTTTTAAGCTCAAAGGCCACACCGAGCTCGGACTCGGCGTGGATCCTGTCAGTCCCACTGCCTCCCAGTGCACGGGGCCGACGTCGAAGGAAAGCAGCCGAGTCTGACGTGAAGAGGCAGGGGCAGAAACCACCTCACCTGACGAAGGTCGAACCCGCACAGCACAGAAAACGGTTCACTCAACTCATTCATGCTGTCAGGGAACCATGAAGCACAGAAAACTATCATATAAATATACTTTACATGACTCACAGACTGACTAATTTAGTATAAATACGCTGTAAGGGGACGTAGGGCTGGACAATAAATCAATAATGGTAAATATATCGCGCCTCTCACAGCTAGCTAAGCTAAGCTAGTGGAATCAGCTAGCGCTGAGTTCACACCGCAGCATTAGTGTGTACAAGTTCGCTCAAACCAAACACGATTTGAGCGTCAGGAGAGTCTGGTTTACACTCAAAGTCTATATGGACGCATGACGATGGCGCGTCGATGGCGCTACGATGGCGCATCGATGGCGCGTCGATGGCGCGATGATGGCGCTACGATGGCGCATCGATGGCACGTCGATGGCGCGACGATGGCGTGTCGATGGCGCGATGATGGCGCTACGATGGCACGTCGATGGCGTGTCGAAGGCGCGTCGATGGCGCATTGAAGTGTTTCGAGCGTTTTGGATTGGTCTGACATTTAAAACAAAAAATGGTCGACTGACATAAAACCCTTATGATACATTTTTCAGCCATATATTAACCTGAGTTTAGTAATTAACTTATTTTCTTTATTTTATAAAGAAAACTATTTGTTGATTATCAATGCATCCATGGCTTGTTTTCATCTGTTACTGTATTTCTAAAGCTGCTCATTTATGACCCGAAAACACAAAAAAAAACTAAAAAAGAGAAATGCTGCANACTANACACCACAAACACAAGCAACAGATAATTATTACTTTCTTTTTAAAACTTTACTCTGTTATTGCAAGAATTTCAGCAACACCAATATCAAAAACAATGCATATTACTTAAAATACAAAATATGCATAAATAAGTGAATAAAATGTAAAAATAATTCAAATGAATATGTATTTTTAATTTTTAAAGCAGGTAGGTATTTCTGCAACCTTTAATCCCTCTGGACATTTAGTCTGTAAGTTTGTATTTGGTAGCAGAATAAATTTTCTCCTGCTCTGATTTCTAATGCCGGAGGAAAGTTATTGAAGAATTAACTGAAAATTTGGCATCAGATGATAGAAGTTAAAATGCAGGCCAGTGGAGCTGGGTTGTTTTCTGACAGGAAGCCTCATTCTTCAGAGTTATTTTTAGCTGCATGAAAACAAATAAATTGGAAAAACATGATAAAAATGAGTTCAGTCCTGATCTGAAGTTGGTCAGATTCTCCCTCCCTGGTTTAGTTCTGTCACTGCTTTATAAAATAATGAAATGTTAAGATATTTTGTTTAACAGATAATAGAACTGGATGTTTCTAGCCGTCACTGTCTGATTGATTTTTCTATGCAGACCAGTAAAGACACCAGTACAACCCTCACTCACCAGTTTATGTATTGGAGGAAATGCCACTCCACTGCAATGTTTAAATTTAGGTCCCATTTCATAATGGCACCTGGGTTTTTGGTATTAAACCATTAAATTTGGACTCATACTTGGAACTGTGGTGGTAGAAAAAAAACAGGCATTTCCTGTTGAATTTTTATTTATTTTTTCTAACCTTTTCCATCTTTTCTTCCCTTCTTTTAAAATTTGTATTCAGGCCGACACTCTGCCATTTTCTACTTGTTTGCTCCTTCCTTTACCTTTCCATCTCTCCATCTCCATCTATTATTTAAGCATCAATAATGGGGCCTGTTGCTGTTGTCGCCAGCCTGCCGTTACTGCTGCGGCTGCAGTTGTTACTTTAGACAGCTGTGTCCTCACTCATCTGCTCCTTCCTGTCTCCTGAACCAAACTGACTCCTTCTGAAACCAGTTTAGCTTTGGGTTTGTGTGTAGAAACTTTTTTAACACCTTCTTTGTAGGTTTTTAGCTCAATGTTAAGAAGAATTGCACGACCCCATCTTTAGCACTTCTCAGGGTTTTGCCTTTGCTTCGCTCGGTAATAATCCATGCACAACATTGGCATTATCAGTTTGTCTGTGTTGCATAGCAATGGGGCCGTGTGCATGTTGATGGGGGGAGCTTCGCGTGGCTGATGGATTTAACGCCGAGCCGACGGGGCCGGCGGGGCAGAGGCGCACCAACTGTCTGGATTCTCTAAATAACTGAAACTAAGTTTTAGAAGTAAACATGGCCGCCTGCGCAGTTTAAACACATGAAGAAGAATGAATGAAAACCATCTGAGCGTGGAAAAGATTCCACTTTTTAATTTAACACCTTCATGACGATAGAGTTGGCTAGTAACTAGTTACATTTACTCAGTTACATTTTCTTCAGTGACTGTATTGATAAAATTTACTTCACTACGCTGTACTTTGTACTTTTACTTGGGTAAGTTTATTATGAAGTATTTCTACTATTACTGGAGTAAATTTTCTGGATTTTCTACCCACTGAATGAAAAACAACCCAAAAACTCACTGGACTCAGACACACCTGCAGTTTCTGTTAACGTTTTGTATTAAAACTTTAACATTATATGTTTTGTATTAAAAGAAACTGATTTGAAAACAATTTATTTTGCCTGATTTTATTATTTTGTGTTACTGACATGAATTATTGTCATTTAAAATACCAACATTTCCACTTAACTTTATATTTTGGTCTGATGATGTAATGTTTAAATCAGTTACTCAGAACTTCAGTAGACTTTTTACTTTTTTACTCTGAGTAATTTCTCACAGCTTTTTACTTTTACTTGGGTATAAATATGTATTCCTACTCTTAATATGTCAAAAGTAATCAGTAAGTTTTCATCAAAATTAATAAACATCAATGATCCAATAAGCAGTAAATCAATTAATTGCAGGATAAATTGAACTCATGATTTATTGATTTTTCTCTCTTTCTACCAAAAACTGAACGGCTAAACTATTCAGTCTGGTGTTTGGGTCTGTGTTTGCCGAGACTTTATAATTCATTTTATTTGTTTTTTCTGTTGTTTTATTTAGTTTTGAATATTTAAAATGTCTTCCAGTTCCACTGTTAAATATTTACTAGAATTTCAAGTTTATTGATCTTTGAGATCTCTCTTGCATTAATTATATCACTTGAATTACAACAATTTTTATCATTTATCACAATAATTTCTAGCAAAATCTATCAAATCCAATAGATAATCGATTACTTTAGAAGCATAATGTTTGAGTGCCACCATATCTCCAACTAAAGCTTGATTTGGGTTGCAAGAATGAAAGGTAACAAGCCACCAAACAACGTTGCTTCACCTCAGACTGAACATCTTCCTTTTTTAATCTCCAGGGACCTAATTAGTCCTGATCCCAGAAGAAGAATCACAGACGCTGAAGACAAACATCTCTGAGGCTTTCAGCGCCCAGAGAGACGCTCCCTCAGCGACCGACAAACGGAGATCCACAAAACTCATTCTGTTAGGACAGCTGGAGCGCTCAGGTTCCCATAAATCAGCTGCTTTAAACAGAGCGAACGATAAAAACGAGGAAAGCGTCGATCCCTGCCGCTGCTTTCCTTACATCATCAGAAGTTCAGCAGAGGATAACGCCGGCAGATTATTTTCAGAAACTGAAACTAGGCCAAGGAATTGTTAATTATAAACTCAGCTACAATGCAGCTATTTGGGTTCAGACTGAGTAAATGTACAGACAAACAGCTCCTCTGTGGCCTGCGACTCCATCTGCACAGCTTAAATAGACTAAATCCCTATATTGTTAATAAGAGGGGAAAAAAGCCGAATTTAAAGCCGGAGGGACAGAGCGGTGAGCTTTCCGAATATTATTTTTGGAAACCCTTGAATCAGAGTTGCAGCTGCAGCTGCTTAGAATAATGAGATGTTGGTGGAAAAGACAAAAAATCTCCAAAACATCCCAGCTACTCTATGACTGGATTTATAAACAAACACTGAGAAAAATGCTTTTTAAAGCACATTCCCTCCTAAAAATGATTTATTTCAGAGATCCACCAATCAGAGTTTTCCAGATGAACCACTTTGACTGATTCCAAAATTAGAAAAGAGGAAAAAGTGACATGCAACAGGCTGCTGGATCGAGGTAGCAGCCAATTCCTCATTTTTATCTGAAAATAGTGGGAATTTCTACTGTTGCTGCATTTAATGCACAGAAAACACATTTCTGTTGCTTTTTGGAGCCAATTTTTCAATCATCAATCAGAAAAATTGGTTGATTCCGATGTTTCAGTTTGATTGGTGCATCTCTCATCCCACCAAACCCCCTCCAATGTGTTTTGAAATCAAATGCAAAGTGGAGCAGTCATGCATCTCTAAGCAGACAACATTCATCCGTGTAACATGCTATTTAATTGAGTTCTTCATCTCCGATCCCCCCTATCGGCGGCGCACACGCCGGAGGAACGGGCCAGAAAAGGGATTACGACATCGCTTACTTTGGAGGACCACGGCTGCAAGCAGTTGGCATAGCAACGGACCAGGAAAGCCATTTCCACGAGCGGGAGGGAGCCGGAGAGGGGGAAGTTTCCCCTCTTATTCGGCGAAAGGATGAGGAAAGAAATAAATAAGTAAGAGAAGAGGGGGACGGCTGACGCCACTCTTTCTCTCTCTTCCTGCTGCAACAGAACCGTCCAGATGCGTTTAAAAAAAGACGTCCGTATTAATTAGGTAGTTCAAGTCAAGGCAGAACCAAAGTTTGCAAATCTCTACTTAAGCAAGAAAGTTCTAGTAGGAAAACAAAAATTTGTTAAACCTGGCAAACTTTTATCAAAAGGCTATTAAGTCAGTTTTGTCCTGCTAAAGATCCAGCAAGAAGCTGGAAAAAACTTCATGCCAGGGTTCAAGTCCACAAGGCTTGAATCATCTGGATCTGACAAACTCCTTCCTTCGTCTCTTTGCAACTCTATAAAGCTCCAGCGATGGAAACGTGAGCGGCGGCGTGCAGCTCCATGCCAGATCCCAGCGATCCCGCTCCGGTAAACCCCAACCATCCAGTGGCCAAAGCTCGCACCTCACGCCGGTGTTCCTCCTCCCCCTCCCCAGCCTTGGAGAGAGAAGCCGCCGTGGACGGATGCTGCACGGAGAAGAGTCAGCCGCTAATGGGAAGCGGAGGAGAGAGTGGGAGCTAGGAGAGGCAGGGGAAGGGAGGGGAATCCAGCTGAAAAAGAATGACATCACCTGTGCAGCGGGAGAGGGCGGGAAGAGAGACGGGGCAGGGGAGGCGGCTGAAACGAGGCGAGCGAGAGCAGCGCAGCAGCGGGGACTGCATTAAATGGATTGACCACTGAGCAGATGTGGATGGGAGAAGGAGAGATAGAAAGAGATGGAGATCGAGAGGACAGCGAGGGAACATGTTTATTGATCTGCCGGTAACATAAAGCCGAGTATATGGAGGCAATCCCCTCCCCTCTGTGAGCATAAATTACAAAAAACGAGAAAGGGAAAGGGGCGGAGGAGAGGAGGGGGAATAAATCCCAGAGAGATACAAGGACAGACTCTGCAGCCGAACAAACGGCTCAGGAAGATTTGCAACAGAATCTGACGTCTAAGACTCACGCAAACACAGATGCAGAAAAAATCTTGACAAATCTCAAACTAACAAAGACAAAATAACTTTACAAAATCCCAGTGACGTCTGTCCAACAAGAAGAAAAGCAACCTGACACTTATTTTTACCTTTCAGGACAAATCTGCATCTGCTCCCACATTTTAATAGACAAAAATGAGGAAGAAATTCAAGCAACTTGTGTTAAGACAATAGATCCAACTCTACCAAGCTTAACAGCCTTTTGAAATCCTCAGAAGTTCATAATCAAGAAGAAATATAATCACAAAACCCCAATAAAGGCATGTTTCTCATTTTGACCACATTATTCTGAAAATAAACAATCAGAAGCATCTTAAAGTCTTTAATCCACTTGGAATTTAATGAAATCTGGCCATGGATTCAAGAGTTTTTCTTTGTAAAACATGAGCAGCTTCTTGGTCGTTCTTCTTGATTTGTGATTTTTATACAACAGAACATGTGAAAGTTGTAAAATCATGACGGTTTAGAAAAACTCGCCAGCCGGCTGCATGTCTGCACCAGCGTTTTTCACCTTTTATTTAAATTTTCTTAGTAGAAAAAGCAACACTGGTCGATGCAACTTCCTACAAAAAAATAAGAAAACTAAAAAGTATCATCAAAAACAGAAAATTTTCTTTTTCAATTAAATTTAAAAAATATTGCAATATTTTTTATCACCGCCCTTCTTTAAGTATGCTGAAGTGATTTTAATAAACTCAAACTGTGATTCAAGTAACTTGTAATTCCTTGAAACTTGGCTGTTATCTCCTGACAAGCAGCTTTTATTCCAATGATGATTATTTTTGCAAAATGCATCAGTAAGTGTTTCCATTTCCCTTTTCCCTGCTCTTCATGCATTACCCAGAATGCCTTGTGCTCATGACACCAGGACAATAAAGATGAAAGAGTGGGGGAGGATCTCCAACCAGAGACAATAGAAGCCGTCTGTCGATTAGAAACGCTAATTATTAGCCGAACAGGAAGAGACGCCAGAAACAGGACTGAAATTATTTCCTCAAATTGTTTGATATTTTATTTTAACCATCTCATTCTGGCTCCATGCTACTGTTTTTACAGTTTCAGCTAGCTGCTCTGAATCAGGATCTCTTTCCTCTGCGTTCTGTGCCAACGAGGAGAAATACACCTCCCGACTAGGAATGACATCATCTCTCCCCTCAGCAACCAATCGGAGGCGAGCACATGGAGTCCAGCCTTCAGAGGAGCGTTATGTACACAAGAGAGACGGAGAGGAACGCAGGGAGAGGCAGAAAACCAAAATGGGAGGCCGGTGGACAGAGCAGATAGTTACTGGGATGAAAGGATGAATCAAACACACACAGACCTGCAGAGACTCAGCCATTAAACCCCACCACTTCATATGAATGAAATTACAGATCACTGAATGGATTAAAGACTCTCGGGTTAATGGATGGGGCCTGTCAAGTGAGTGCATGCAGTATATTTGTGCTTGCATTAAAAAGAAGTGTGTAAGTGTAAGTGTGCACTAGCTGCAGCTTTCTTCCTTTTTGCATACATGTCTGCTCTGCTTCAAAGCCTGGTCTTTATAAATGAGCCTCAGATAGAAGCAGTTTCTGCTGTGTTCTTTCTCAGATAAAGTCGATGTGTAACTGAAAGATGACACAAACAAACACACTGCTTTTAAAGCCAATCTGGCCTTCCTAATGCACTGATACTTTTATTAGACTTTTCACCCATACAAACAAATTAGTGTGATTCAGTAAGAAAACATCTACAGGGTGCTGTAGATTTCTCCCCAATAATACATGTTTTCAGTTCAGATGCATCTTTTTCAATGTTTAATTTGCATATAGTTTCCAAAAGTCTGAACTGGAAGTGATCAGCGCCATCTTGGTAGGCAAGCGCAGAGCCAAGGCCAACAAAAGAACGGATATGGACACTCTGGACCGACGTGCAAGACAGAGATATACAAACAAAATGGCTGCTGTTGGGATCAAAACATGTCAGACGATGTGGAGAAGCTGCTTCCGATCTGCTACTAAGTAGTTCGCTACTTAGTGAACATAAAGAGTTCGCAAACAAGGAGGAGCTTCATGGACGCATACAATCAATGTTTAACCGACTTTCTAAAGGACGTACGAACTCTTAATGTAAAGTAAGATGTAAATACATGTAGTAACAAACACCGAGGCGACATGTCTGCCTTAGCTAGCAGGTAAAAGCTACGTTAGCTAAGCTAATTTTGCAGTAAGTACTGCAGTACATATCACTCATATTTATCTTAGCAGTACACAGACGTGGGTAGACGACTCAAAGTGTAATCCAGTTATAGATGTAATGTACTTAGATAGGAATGAGGTGAGAGCTATTCTGTTTATCGTCATAACTCCGCACCTCCTGCACCTACCAAGATGGCCGCCGACTACAAAGTTCCTGCAAATGTGACGTAACATGAGAACTATTTATAGGTAGCAGGTCAGAGTGAATCAACTGAAACCTGAAATATTGATTATTGAATCAATATAACATGTTTGGATAAATACAGAAGAGAGAAATGTAGAAATATTGTTAATATATTTCAAAAAGATTCAACGTTGGTTTTGTTTTTTCCTCATTAAAAATCGACGGAGCATGTGACTCTGCTTAATGGATATCTTATTTATGGGATCTCTGAACATGTAAATGATGCAAAACTGAAAACACAAACCAATTAGGAGAAAGAAATTCAGTGGGTAGAAAATCCAGAAATTTTACTCAAGTAAGAGTAGAAATACTTCATATTAAAATGACTCTAGTAAAAGTAGAAATAAAATACACCTCAAAGTACATCTTTCCAATAACGTTACTGAAGTAAACTGAGTAGGTCTGTAGATTTGAAATGCAGGATTCAGCACAAACCAAACATGTTTAGGTTTTTAAAGAGACAGTCGCCTCTGACGGTTCGTCTGACCCGAACACAAAATGAAAACATGAAAACAAACTTTCAGGACCTTCAGGCATAAGTGAACATGAAGATGTGGACTGTGTGAGCAAAACACCGAGCAGGATAGACGTCACACAGGAAACGCTTCCTGGAACATTCTGTCTGCAACCCTGTGTGTTTGTGAACACCAGTCGGATAACGTCAGGTGAAACGCAGAGAAAGGCGGAACAAGAGAGCAAAAGCAACAAGGCAATCATGGAAATATGAAAGTAAAAAGGGCACACTGGGAGGCTGAATTGTGATTTAAATTTTTTTTTTAGAAATATTACTAATTTAAACAGGCAACGAATGACAGGAAACAGCCGGCAGACAACCACACATGCCGTGCAGCGTGCAGGAGCCAGACACAAGGCATCCTGTGTGTACGGTTGGGGAGTTTTGTGAATATTTGGGGATGTCTTTCACCCTGAGGCTGCTGAGACCAGAGGTCTACTGGGAATCAGTAACCAGGTTAGCCAGTCTGCAGTCACCTGCCTGCAGCGTGTGGCCAGAGGCAGCTTTTAAATGCAGCTCATCAGTTCTGTCAGGCCAATTAAAACCAGTCGTCTGACTGAAGCTCTGCAACTCACTGATGCAACCAAACATCCAGCTAAAGCAGCGTTTCTCAAACTTATCCCATTAAACAAACACTTACAGACCACCTAACCTTAAACTGTCCACTGCAGTAATAACTTCTTAAAATACACAACCTGAAATTAAAATATTAGTCTCTTAACTCATCGTCTTTATTCTTCTGTGACTCCACAATAAAACCATGAACACGTTGACCTGGTTCGAGTTATTGTGATTCTGAATAGATTTCCTGTATTTCAAATCAAAAAAGTTCTTCACTACAAGTGCTGTGTGCACTAATAATGTTTTAGGGCCATTTATAATTTAGAAACACAATAAAAGAAAAATAGACTTGAGTTGCTTTGGTGAAAAACATTTTCTTTCAGAGAGTCCAATGTAATTAATTTTATTTTAGGCGTTAAGATGCAGTTAGTCAGTGTGGGGCACAGCGCTGCTCACGCTGAGTTCAGCTAAAACCGGTGCAATGTCCTAACAAAATCATTCGTAAATAAATTAAAAATAAGTGGAACAAGTACTGAGCCTTGGGGTACGCCTGTGTTCGTAATGTCTCACCACTTTAACAGTGGTTTGGTTTACGGTTGAGAAACTATGATATAATCCTCTCTATATTTGTCTCATAGAATTTGTTCCATGTATTTTATGAATAAGAAGAATACAATTACTTCATGTAGTTCTGGTGACAGACCGCCGCCATCGTAGGTATCGTAGGTCTATGTGTTCATTCCTTCGGTGTGTTTCAGTGGGAATGAGTTCAGGACTTCCTGCTATTTAAAATCAACCCTTCCCTTTCCGACTGGTCTCTACAGAGACTGCGTTCAGAGAGGTTCAAGTCTGAAGGAGATGGAGAAACAAAAACAACTCCATTGAGCCAACACTGTTAGCCCTGCTGTGAATGCAATAGGCAGTTTTATTGCAATTTCCCTAAAAAAACTGTAAAAAAATATATATATATATGATGAACATAACGGATAAAAATCCCCATTTTTATCCAAAGAAAGATGAATGAGAAGACAAGCAAGTGATGAGAGGATAAAAAATTCAGAAAAGAGGAGAAAAAAAGAGCTGGAATAAAAACTGCCAGCGGGAATTCACAAGGTGAAAAGGAGGTAAAACAGGAGGATTAAAGGCTTTGTTTTTCTGCAGGACACATGTTATATCTGACAGAGGCTCACCTCAGCTTTTCCTGACAACTATTAAATCTGCT